TCTCGCAGCCGCACGGTAAGGGCCGGCGGGGCGCGCAGCTCCCGCCTCTACCCCACCCCACCCCCGCGGGCGGGCGGGAGCGAGGCGGCCTCTGCGGGGCCATGGCCCGGGGGGTGGGCAGCCGTGATGTGACTTGGAATTGTTTGGGTATCTGTGTGCGCGCGCCAAGCTGTGGTGTTTCGAGTTGGACGCTGGAATATGTGTGTACATTTCTGTGTGTGTGCATAGGCATATGTATCTGTGCACATATATGGATGTATATGCGTGTATAGAAGATTGTGCCCCAGATATGCCTATATCCAATACCACCTGCAAGCAGTGCAATGCAACCGCCAGGCATTGAAGTTATATGGCCCAGAGGTATTTCTAGACGTGATTTGATTTGAACTTTGGAATTAATATATGTGCCCCAAATTACACATGTGTACACACATACGTGTACACACCTGTGTATGTACACACACCTGTGTATATATGTGTGTGTGTGTGTGTGTGTATGCACGTATGTATGTGTATATTAGAGGTGCACCGATAGATTGGTCTGATACCGGATCGGTACTGATACAAAGAAAAATTGCTGTATTGGATATCAGCCTTATGGTGCCGATAATTTGATAAATGCCCATGCTGCGCACAGCCGTGGTGCAGCACAGAGTAGAGCCTGCAGAGCTACCTCCAGCTAGTAAATCAAAAGCAGAGTGGGGAGGGAAGGGGCATCAGGGAGCAGATCAACACCCCCCATGGGGACAGAGGGGGTAGGGGCAGATGCTGCACAGGTGGGGTGGGGGAGCGGGACAGGTGCAGCTCAGGGTGGGGGCTGATTCCCACTGCTGCTTGCACCCCGGGAGGGCGGCAGGGTGGGGGTGTGCCCCCCAGATCTGCATGGGGCAGGCTGGAGCCTGCTGTTCTTGGTGGGGGTGGGCTTGGAGCAGGTGCCGGCAGTGCTAGGAGGGGCTGCAGCCACCCCAATTTTCGCCGCAGCTCCGCTTCCAGCCCCGTGTCACGAGGCGCAGCCTGGCTTCATGTCTTGCCTCCACCCATGTGCTGGGAAGAGCCAAGGCTGCTCTGGGCAGCTGGTGGCAGCGGCAGCTCTGGGAGCGGAGCTGCAGCGAAACTTGGGGTGGCTGCAGCCCTTTCCTAGCACCACCAGTGCCGGTTATGAGCCCAGCCCTGCTGAGGAGAGCTGTGCAGCACCAACTCCAGCCTAACTCGCACAGATCCAGGGGGAACCCCCTCCACCTGCACTCCCGGGGTGCAGGCAGTGGCAGGAGCTGCCTCCCCCCACGAGCCACGCCTCTGTCCCACACTCTTGCAAGAATAAGGTTTACCTACCCTTGTGGGGTAATGCACAGGAACTCCACTGTCTGAAAAGAGATAAGCCCAGTAGCTGCTTGGTCTGGGAGAATAGTAGCAGGTGCTGATTCCCCTGTAAAATGGCAGCTGTTCTGAGATGCTTGGAAGTAAGACTCAATCGGCAGAGATGCAACTTTCATGTCTCCTTCATACCACTCTTCAGTTCTGTATGCACCACTCTGACATGTACAAGGACATGGGTGTGGATATGTACATGGACAAGGTTGAACATCAGGGATTCCTGAGCTCTATCTATTCCTGTTAATTAAATCAGTCACCTTATAGCATTGATTTTCAACCAGAGTGCCATGAGATATTACTTTCATAGATGTTAGGGGCTAGAAGGGACCTAACAGATCATCAGGTTCAGCCCCCTTGTACTTGGGCAGGAACGATCCCAGCAAGCTGGTCATCAAGACACTTTGAAGATCGCCAGGGTGGGTGACTACTACCTCGGGGGGGAGCCTGTTCCAAACCCTCAGCACTCAACTTGTAATGAAGTTTTTCCTTAAGTCCAGTCTGAAGCAATCTTCAGTCAGTTTGTGCCCATTGTTTCTTGTCCTCCCCTGGGGGGCCTCGGTGAACAGATTCTCGCCCAGGCCCTGGTGTACACCCCTAAATACTTATAAGCAGCCACCAAGTCCCCTTTAAGTCTTCTGTTCTCCAGGCTGAACAGTCCCAAGTCTTTCAGCCTTTCTTTGTATGACTAGCTCTCTAGGCCTCTAATCGTGTGTGGCCCTTCTTTGGACTCTCTCAATATTTTTAAGGGTGCCATGCAATATTAGCACTGTTAGGCATGCAGACATCTACATGTGAGTCACAAGATGATAAACCCAGAGATTTCAAAAAGGAATCCGGAACATAAAAAACATTCTGCCTTGTGGTCTTTCTGATCTCTTTGCAGCAGAAGAATTGCTCTACTGTTTTTTTCAGTGGTCAAAAAAATAAGTAAAATCAGAGGTGGCATTTTCTGAGGGATGCCTTGAGTGTAAGCAGATGTGCCCTTGAGTTTAGAAAGGTTAAGATTCTCGCTGCCTTGTTGCCACAAGTGCATCATGCTTATCAAAATATTAGCATTCTCTCTGTTTCTGCTTCTCAACAGATGTAGCTGGAAAGAGACCCTCAATGCTGAAAATTGATCAGGCCTTGCTGTTAATCCACAATGAGTTGCACAATGAAGTTTTGACAGTCTCCTGGCTTTCTGATTATTGTTACCAGGTAAAGAAATTTCACCCTGTTTGTAAGAAAAGGTTTTATTTTCAAGACGGCAGGATGCTGCAGGGGATACAGTGCTGGACTAGCACTTACTCACCTAAGGAATTATGGAAATACTTTGAAAATTCTGGTTTTTCAGCTGTCTCTCAGATGAGCTAAAAAGATCAGTGACAGATTGGGGAAGGCAGATGCCTTTCACATTCATCATAGATTCCAGTAGGTCCTCTCTCAATTCCCTTTTGAACCCTGGCTCTCCCTACCCACTCAGACTTCCACTGCTGAAAGCCCAATTCTGGACACTCAGCCTGGGAACCACAGACATGCATGAGACTGATTCCTACAAGACATTAAGGCTTGTTCATAAGATTAAAAGATATTTAAGCCCTTGTGCTTCAGAGCACAAGCTAAGGCTTGGTAAGGTGCTAAATAAATAAAGAAAGATGCTAAATAAATCAAGTTATGATGACAGTTCTTACTATGGACAAGTTATTTTGTAACTGCTCTCTTCAGGAATTCTTGTAGCTTCCTCTGAAGCAGCTAGTACTGACCTCAGCTAGAGACAAGCTATTGGGCCAGATGGAGGCTTACTCTAACCTGGTCCGGAAAGCTACGCTATCTTGTGATAGTGCCTTTTTTAATGATTAAATTAATTATATCTGTTTTGCTGGGTATTAATTCTAGTGAAAGAGCATTTTTGAAAATCCCATCATAGATACTTTGATTTAGGCTCTGTTTTTTAATTTAGGCTGTAGTATTTCCTTCAGCCACAGCTCACAAGAGAAGTTAAGTGTTTGCTTTTGGTAAAGCCAGACTTTCATTGTACTCTTGTTTCTAAATGTTTTTATTTAAATGGAAATCACTTTGCTCTGTTTATCATCATCAGGTTGTCTTTTCTCTTTTAATCCTTGCTCTGGCTTGTTGTTTCCCAGTGCTTGTATCAGTACTTGGCGTTGGTGCCCTTGAACAATACCTCAGGAAAGCCTCGAGTGGAAGTCGCAGTGGATGCTCAGCACCCTGTCACCCTCCAGCTCAATGGCACGTTGGATGGCAAAGAGCTTTGCAAGTTTGTAGCCAGTCTGAAGATGACCTGTTGAAACCGCTAGTGCTTGAATGTTCTGTCTCTTACCAGCCATGTCCCTAATGTCTGTGGCTTTCCCATCACAGTTAGTACTGGGTGTTTGGACTTACAGCTTAATGTATGTGGCATCACTGCAAAATATTATTTACTTTATAGAGGTGCCAAAAGGATTCAGTCATAAGTGGGGTCCATTTAATAGAAATCATAGAGAAATAGGGCTGGAAGAGACCTCTAGAGGTCTTCTCATCCAATCCCCTACTTAAGTCATGATCATCCCTATCCAAATCAAACCACATTTTGCTATGTGCTATACAAAAGACACATGAATTTAGAGTCCCTGGCTCTGAGCCTGCAGATTAAAAAGTCAGGTGATGTATGAAGAGTGGAATAGTTCAAGGAAGGAAGTCTTGTGAATTCTGTCCTTAAAGAAGTCAGTGGGATCTTATTCAGGGAAGGGGAAGGTTTTAGGAGGGAACCAAAGTACCAAGTAAGCTCTGAGAATGGATTGTGCAGTTATCAGTGAAATAAGAAAAATATTGCAAGGAATGTCATAGAGTTGAAGAGAGGAATCAGCATACAATAGGAGTTTCTGTGACTGCAGGGCTTTTCCAGAGCTCAGAGGGCCAGAGACAGATTTGGGGTGTGTCATGTTTAGGCCCAAGAAGGGATGGCCTTTGTGGTGGGAGGAAGAAGTGGAGAGGAGTCATATAATTGAGTCAGTAGAGAGGAGGAAGAGAGCAGTGAAGAGGGGACTGAGAAAGGTAGAGTAGTTAAGGTCATAAGTGGACTGGAATCCTAGGAAATGCTGAGGGTTGAAAGCAGATGGGGAGAGGACTAAGTTGGATCATTGTGCTCTGCAAATACTAGGTTGAGTGAACAACTATTTTTGTGGATACAGTCATTGATCCAGGGTTCAAGATTTCATAGATTTCATAGACATTAGGGCTGGAAGGGACCTCAGAAGATCATCACCAAAGGGCAGGAAGTCAGCTGGGGTCATAGGATCCCAGCAAGATAAGCATCCAATTTGCTCTTGAAGATGTTCACTGTAGGTGCTTGCACCACCTCCGATGGCAGGCTGTTCCAGACCTTGGGGACTTGGACAGTAAAGAAATTCTTCCTTATGTCCAGCCTGAAATGGGCTTGTAGTAGTTTATGACTGTTCGACCTCATCATCCTTTGGGGCGCTCTGGTGAACAAACGTTCCCCCAGATACTGGTGGTCACCCCTATAAACTTATAGGTGGCCATCAGATCACCCCTGAGCCTGCGCTTTTCCAGGCTAAAGAGCCCCATGGAACTCAGCCTGTCATCGTAAGGTCTGCTTTCCTGACCTCTGTTCATGCGT